CCCCCCCCCCCCATGCATACACCCCCCTCAACATACAAGACTAAGAATTTATTTTTTGAGTTGTTATGCGATCACCTCTGTACATGTTACGCAACCACAAATCATGGCAGGAAATACTTTTTGTAATAAAATTAAAATATGTTATAGTAGACACTTGAATTTAGTGTATGATTTGGGGTTTTTCTCCTTCTAAGATGGCATCCCCCCATCCCTCCTGAAAGGAGTATTTCCAGTGGGCAAGGGGAGGGACTTCCAATGGCAGAAGTCAGGGGTTAGGGGTAGGATTTTTGGTCCCAAGATAGCAACCAAGGGGCAGGGCAACTGTCAGGGGTCAGGGCTACCCATGCAGCCCTCGAAAGCTCGCCAAATCTCGTTAACTGGCCCTCCACCCGAAATAATTGCCCATCCCTGCAGTAAACTGATATATTACCACTCAGTTGAAGATATAAGACCTGCACTTAAATTGGTTCTAGTTTATAAGGAAGCGGTGAGTTCCACATCTGCATAAGGATAAAAGTTCAGTTTATTTCTCCAGTTTCTTTTTCTCACAAGAATAAAATCTCTTGGAAATCTGAAATGGCATTTCATTCCAAGTAGTCAGGTGAGAAGGGCCCTAAGGTAACATTCCTTTCCCTTCCTACTTAATTTAGTAGAATTTTGCTGATTTTCTTCTTGCTGATCCATGCAGCTGTACTTGTCCTTAAAAATATGGGCTTCTCCTTTTACTGTTCTTTAAAGAAGTAACTAGTGTACATTATACTGAGCTTGTTTCCTATTATCAAGGCTTTATTAATTTTACAAAACAAAGGGTAGAAAAGAATATTTAACAATATAGTATGGTCTATAATATTAATTAAAACGAAGCTATGTTTTCTAAAGTACATGTTTTTATTTTGTTTGTGAAGTATTACTTATGTTTTTTACTTGCTAACTTGCAGTGGGCTTCCCTTCACTTTTGGATTTCAATGATTTTACTGTAAATCTTTAATTCAGGTATTTTATTAGATGTTGATTGCAGAACTGGCCGTGCTACATAAAGATCAAATCCACTTTCTTTACTGATTTTGCTTCTGCTCATCTTGCCCAATCTACAGGCCATTCCAGGCATAAGATTGCAGCTCAAGTCTAATCTTAACTCATGGTGGTATACATTTTCCCCATGTCACTCTCTTACAATAGTGTATTTTAGTAACCGGCATTGTGCCAAGTTATGGTTTTAATGAACATTAAAAAAACTTGGCAGTTTGCTTCGGCAATGCAAACAGATCCTGTCAGCTTTACTTGTCAGAGTAAATCCACAGGGAAACGACTGAAATTCCAAGAAGGAAATTTTGAGTAAGAGAGAATTCTTGTGTTTTATTCAGAATGAGTGTAGTACCATATTTTCTTGCATACCACATACCCTTTTCCACAAAAACAAGCCCTCCCAAAATTGGGATGTGTGCCATAAGCGGGAAAGCTGTTTTTTTGCTTAGAACAGAAACACCTCACTTTGATTCCTGCTCCAAAATCTCCTTCCTGTCAGCAGCAGTGGTATTTCAATTCTGGCAGCTGCAGAAGGCAGTTGACTTAATGGCTCATTGGTCTTCTGTCAGCAGGTGTTAACAGTTGCCTTTTCTTTTTAATGGTCTTTGTTTCACTAGTCGCTAACCTTTCTTCAGCCATTTTGCTGTTTGTTTAGCTATTTCTGGTCTCTCTCCTCTAGAAGTGCACTGATACATTGGTCCAATATTGGATCAGCACCGATATAAAGAAAATTGTCTGTATTGAAAATTGGCCTGATATGGCCAATAGTTTGACCAATAAATGGCCCATGCAGGCTCAGCTGCAGTGCAGCACGTAGGCGGCGAGCAGTGCCCAGCTGGTAAGTCTGTTGTGGTGGAAGGGGGAGCAGATCAAGGCCCTGTGGTGAGGGAGGGAATGGGGCTGGGGCAGGGGCTGGGACAAGGCCCACTCCCTCCCTCACCACTAGGGCCTTGATCTGCCCCCCCACACTCCCCTTCCCACACAACAGACTTACCAGTTGGACACTACTCTTCAAGCTGCTGGGCTGGTATTGGAAATCGGATTGGTATTAGCCAATACGCCTCCTTAAAAATTGGGTATCGGTATTGGCCTCAAAAATTTCTATCGGTGCACCCCTACCCTCCTCCCATTTCACGGCTTTGGAGATTTTAGTCCTTTTCAAAATCATGGCAACTATTGAGATCAGTTTTCAGCAATAGCTAGGGGTTTGGCTTCTGGTTATTCAGGAAAGGGAGGGCGAGTGAGTGGAAGAATAGGCTCCACTCAGCTCTGTGCAGGTATAACTGAAAAAATCTGTTTTTCTTCAGTCTTCCTTCCCCAAAACAAGGTGCATATCTCATTTAGGGGCATGTAGTATGTGAGAAAATAGGGTATTTGGGAGACCTTTTGAGGGGGTGGAAATGGTAGTGTCCTGTATACAGTAGGGGTGTCAGTCACATGGGGCCCAGGTGGGGTCTGGATTATGGGCTGCCTCCAGACTATGGCATTATTTCTGTTGCAGTGGCCACTGTGGCAGCAGTGGGTGTCAGCAGCAGTGGCAAGGAGTCCAGGGCTGGTGACAGCAAGCCAGGCTCACTGCTGATGGCCATGCCCAGCATGGCCAAAGGGCTCTGGATTCTGTTGCAGGCCATGCACCTCAACTTCCCGTGCCTACTAGTAGTTCAGTGGGTCAGACAAAGAGGGTCTGTGCACTAGGTCCAGCCCACAGGCCGTGTTTGACACTCCTGGTATAGAGGGATGCAGCTTTATACTGCTCGTACATTTATACCCTGCCCATTTTGTTCTTAGGATTATTTTCTCTGAGCCCCTACAGAGTTTTTAGTTTTTAGCAGTTTTTAGTTTTTCACCAATCTACATAATTAAAATCTAAAGAGTCAGGGTACTCCTACTCCTTACTGGCAGTTGTCATTCCATGAAAGCTGCCAATAAAATAGTGTTTTGCCTATTGCTAAGGTAGTACCTAGCCTTGGAGTTGCTTGTCACGTTTTTATTTATCTTACCTTTATTTAAAAGGTTCTGAACAGATACTGTCCTGGCAGCAGTTAATCCCGTCTGGGTTTCCTGCATCAGGGATAGTTACTCTCCTTTCTCAGTTCTGTTTTATCTTTTGAGGTGTAGGCAGGTCCAGCATGTGACCGTCTCATCTTTCCAGCTTCCTGTAGGATGGAATCAGATAACCTGGGACTTTCCACAGGTTATCTGATTGGGAAGTTTTCAATTTCCCTCTGTCTATTTCACAAATCAAAAATAAAATTCTCAGAGATTTGCTCTGCATTTGCCATTGCTAGCTGTGTGAACAATTCTTTGTGAAGCAGTTAATGTATTTTTTTGTATAGCACAAGTAGAAGTCCTCTCAGCTGCACTCCGAGCATCCAGTCTTGACCCTCAGGAAGAAACATCAGCAGGAATTGGCAAAGAAATGTACTCACAAAATGACCTGGATGTCAAAGACCAACTAAATAGTAAACTAATTCAGGATGATACTGTGCCTTTGATTAGTGACACTGTTGAGGTAAGAAACATACCTGTGTGTTTTTTAGATGAGTCAGCCAGCTCAGTTTAGAGCACCAGTAAGATCTGAATTTTGCACTGTTTTGAGGTGTAACTCTTTACATCTAATGCTGACATGATGCCGAGTTGTTTGTCTGCTGATTTTGCAGCTCTGCCTGTTGCATTAAGTTTATTCTCCAGCGTTCTTTATTTGTGTGTAACAGTCACTGGATTCCTTAAGTCTAAACCTCACTTCTGTTGTTTTACCATTTTGAGGCAATTCAGTGTGGCTTTCGTTTTTCTGCAGTGAAATAGTCTTATCAGAGGCAAAAAGCTCTTTTTAATGTTAGCAGATCCTTTTTTTTTTTTTTTTTTTGAAAAAGAGACCCTTTGTTTTATTGCATCCAGCAGTAGCATACTGTACTGTTCTGTACAGGAGATAATCGGATCCTGAGGCCCTGTGGGAGCAGTGGTTCTCAACCTTTTTTTGTATCAGGACCAATTTGTAAACATCAATGGCCAGTGCTGACCCAGTGCCTCTCACTCTTGACCCGCTGCCCACTGCCTCCAGACCCCAGCCCCGCAGTGTGGGCATGGGTAGCTCCAAGCAGCCCCTTATAGGCAGGAACTTTGCCAGCCTGCAAGGGAAAAGCCACGGTTTCCTGTGTTTTTCTCCTTTAAAGGAGAATCCATTTTTAAAGTTTGTTTGTGACCTTTTCATATATTCTTACAACCCACAGGTTGAGAGTGCTGTTCTAGTGTGTATGGGATGATACTACCATGAAACATAATTTCTAAATTTTTACTTGTTTCTGCTTTTCTCATTCCTTCCCCTTCCCCACCCCCACCCAGTATAATTGTGTTCTGAAACAGCCAGAATTTGTGCTGCTACAGGTGTCTGGTCAGGTTTTTTGAAGAAGGCTTTTTTAAAATATCAAGCTGGTAGGTAGCTAGCTGGTTGGCCAAGGCCCTGTGCAGCAGATTGCAATGCTGCTGAGGTTTTATTGTATGCTATTTAGATTTCTACTCAAATTTCTACTCCCCACACCAGTTGTGGCATCCATGAGAATCAATTTTGTCTCTGGTCCTTTTCAACATCTACATGCTACCAGTTCTAGCAGTACCATGTTCAGTGGTTCTCAACCTTTTAGGGTTCAAGGCATACTTTAAAACATAAAGTACCTCTTGCTAGATGGTATGGATTCCTATTTAACTTCTCTGGTTTTATCTTGTGAATCATGAACCTGAGTTTGGATTAAATGAGCTCATGGAAGAAAAATAGCTGGATGAAGCTGAAAACAGATAATGGTGGTGGGAAGAAGAAAGCATTTGAAAGAATTTGTAGACATATTTTAAGTTTCTGTGTTTGAGGTTATGGATGCACAGTTGGTCTATTCAGTCCATAGTTTAGGAATACTCTTGGATTATTCCTTGTGAACACTGAGAACTTGCATTGCACTGTTGTTTGCACAGTCTTTTGATTAACTAGGAGATTCATCCCATTCTGGTGAACAGTGACCCAGCTGTTGATTGTGCATACATTTGTTGCTTCCCTAGACTACATAAATGCTTTCTATCTAGGCAAATAAAAGCCTTCGGGAATTGGGAAAACTCAGAAAGCTGTGTTAATGGTAGACATGATGCCAGCTACCATGAGTGTATCAAATGTCTTTCACTTCCCATAGAATTTTGAATCTGGCTCAAGATCTCAGTCCTTGTCTTCAGGGTGCTCCATACCTTGGGCCTAGGTTATGAAGATTGTTAGCATGCTGGAACTCTACCACGCAACTAGGTTTTATCTTAATTGTGGAGATGGCATTTTCCTAGGAGAACTGGTTTGGGACTGGAGTGAATGCTCCCAGCAACCCAGGACTATCAGAAACCTTTCTCATCATTCACTCTAAGTACAAGACATATTTGTTTGATTTTTCTGATATAAATACATAGCAACATTTTATTAAATCCTTTTGCTACAAAAAATGCATAGCTGGAATCCTGAAGCAATTCCCTCTCCTCCCCGCTAAAGTGTGAAGCTTTGTGATAATTTCAGTTTGTATAAACCTTGAACATCCCTTTTTGTAAGTGATCTTTGTCCTCTCTCGTATACACAGAGCATGGGTTCCACTCTCCCATATATTCATAATGATTCAGACTTGAGTACCAATAGCAGCTTTAGCCCTGAAGAGGAAAGAAAATCCAAAGTACAGGTAAAGGATGTTTTTTCATTATGCATCTAAAAAGTGGAAGTGGTATTGTTTGAACAGTCTTAACCTGTGTAGTCCCATGGGTATATTTTGCAGTTTTCAGAGGATGTAAAAAACTTTTCGGTAAGTCACGATATAATCTTTCTTGAATACCTCTAGAGGTAAGTGTCTATTCCAGTTTAAAAATGAGAGTAGAAGAGGTCTGGGAGGTAGTATAATTTTTATATAGTTGGTAGTAAAGGCTGTTTTTCTTTTCTCTGCCAGTGATTTGCTGCATGTTTTTCTGTTAATTACATATAATGCTGGTTGAATTTTTGTCATTGAAGCTGCTTGTGAAAACTAGGTGTTTTGGGTTATTTTCTGCCAAGCTGTAAAAGCATATACCAGGCTTGCCTGGTATTGCAAGGTAATGTGAATTTGTAGTATTGTCTTTATGGTGCTCTGAAAAAAGGATACTGCATAGGTTTAGCAAAAGTATTATTGATTCATACCATGACGTGATATTAGCAAGCATCATGCCAATTTAACAGATGCTCTCTTATTTTTTTTTCTGAAGTTACTACAGCATGTTGAAATTCTTCCCCCCCCGCTCCCTCCTTTTCCCCACTCCCATACACATGCACATGAACAATTTTGACTTTTTGGCAAATAGACAAACTTATTCATCTATAATGTGCGTGTATGTTCAGAGAATAATCCTCTGTTTTCAGTCATTTTTCTGGATTGATAGTATTTTAAGAAAATATTTTTAAAATGTTGTATGTTTTTAATATACAATATATAATCTTTTATGAATTAAAACATTTATTTGCATTCTTAATCTATAAGTAGTTTTAACAGTATTACATAGGTGATAAAAATTATCCTTTTAAGAACACGCATGCATACTTTTTATGTATGTAACTGGAACCTTGTAGAAATTTAAATTCTGCTCTCATTCTAGGATGTTGTACCTCAAGCCTTGCTAGATCAGTATTTATCCATGACAGATCCCTCTCGTGCACAAACAGTTGATACTGAGATTGCTAAACATTGTGCTTACAGTCTTCCGGGTGTGGCACTTACTTTAGGTAGGCAGAACTGGCACTGTTTGAAAGACACCTATGAGACATTAGCATCTGACATGCAGGTAAGTAAGTCCTTTTAACTCAGAAACTTTGAAAATAAACTGCATGTAAACTTATATTACAGTGTTTTTGTAGTGTTGGCATTTTTTTTAATGCCTAGCTTCCGTATTTAGCACTGATGTTTAGTAATTTTAATAAGTGGTACTCTTACTATGAGTAAAGTTGAATCAGTGTAGAGCTGTCTTGAATCTTCCACACACATTATATGTTGAGTCTGCTGCACGTATAATATGAACTAAAATTGCATCAATGAATTAGGGTTAAGTATGTGTAATTATAAATTGCTTTAAAACTATAGATGGTACTTGCAAAGTGTTTTAAAAAAGTACTCTCCTACAAGTGTACAGCCTGCTATGAATGCATATGTTGCATATGTGCCTTTAGAACTCAAGGTCAGAAATTTTTTTTTACCCTAGTTTATCTCATACTACCACACATACCTTTCACATCCCCATGCTTCAAGCAGAGTTCATAAGATAATAGTGAGCTTTCTGTTTCCCCTGAGCCACCTTGGCTCAAGACAGAGCTTCTGTAGTTTGTTCCAGACTGCATGCTTTCCCTACAATCATCCTTTTGAATGTATTTATCTTTTTACACGTCAGAAAGTATTTTGTACCTTTCTAATTCTGGTCTTTGTGTCCGGTGTTGTTACCCACCTTACCCTCACCCCTCCACAATACCTGAGACTCTCCTGGACTATGTTACTTGGCTTTTCTAGCTGAGTGCAGTTCCATTTTTCTCCTCACTCTGATCACACTTCTCCGTTACAATCAGCATGGTTTGCTCTGATCAAGTGATTTCAACATATATTTCTTGTGCAACAGGAGTACGACTGCCTTAGCACCTTTCTTGTGTAGGGAAGTCCCTTATACCTTGGAAGTGTTTTCTTTGCAAATATTTCACTTCTCAGGCTCAAAAGGACTCTGCGTTCATATCCTGGATGAATTTATGGAGTTGCCTTCTGACCCTGTTGCTCAGGACTGGGTTGAGTGCAGATCTTTAGTGGATTCAAATTCTATTTCAAGAAGATCATCCTTGGCATTAGTGCCAGAGAAGTTATCCAGCACGTGCAGGCCCACTGAAGGCTCCAGGGGGAGATCGCTGTCCTGTGGTTCTTTGAGAAGGTATTTCTCACCTCCAGCTATGATTTCACAGCCTAGGAGATCCCTGCTGCCAGGGCAGGGGGACATTTGTCCCGGCCCCGGCAGCAGTCCTTATGTGGATCCCACTGAGGCTCAGAAGCTTCTTTAACACCCAAGTCACAGCCTAGTTCTGGAGATAGTTTCCTCAAGTGCCTAGGAAACCAAAGGACAAGCATCTGAAGCATGATTTAACTTCTCTGTGGCATGTAGTCATCAAAGCTGACGCTCTAGCCCTGTCTTCTACCCTGACTTTCAAGGTTTCAGCAACAACATCAGTTGTTCCCCAGCCTTTTTAAACTCTGTACCATCCATCAGCTCTGAAATCTCTTAATGCAGCTTCTTTGTTTAACTGCCTCAAACAACCTTGCTGTCTAGCCTGGCTCATGCTCCGTGGTGCTCTTCTTCAACTGACTGATCCCAAATATTTTGGCTATAGTTCCTGTTACAGTTAGGGAACCATCCCTGATCCCTGGTCAGTCTACACCAACTGAGATTTCCTTGTGTGTCACTTTCCCTTTCAGCTCCAAGAATGACAGGCTAGTTCCCAGGACAGCCACCTTTTACACATGAGCTTGGCACTGGAATGCTTTACAGAGCGGAACACTGGACCTCTAGACCAACCTTGCACACCTTGGCTTGCTTTCTTCCCATAGACCCCCACACTAAAGGGGGCAACTCCCTAGAACAGGTCATTTTCAGAGGCAAATTATTATGAGATTTTTATCTCCGCAAGAATCCTCCTTCCTCTTACCTTTGAGGACATAGAAAAAGTTCCTTTAGAGCACAGAGATTACTTTCTGGTCCCAAAAGAAAAGGATGATGGTGCCTATTTTGGGCTTAAAGCTTAATTTCTTCCATAAATTCAAGCTCAAGATGGTTATGCTAGCTTATCTAATACCCTCCCTGGAACTGGGGTCCTGGTTTAGATCCCTTAACTTTCATGGTCTCTGCTTTCAAATCTCCATCATATGCTCATGCAGAAAATGACTTAAGTTCATAGAAGGCAGTGCCTATTACTACTGATATGAAGTTCACTTGTATGGACTCTTGATGATCCCAGAAGTCTTTAAGGTCTTTGTGGTTGGTGGTCACCTACCTAAGAAGGAACATGTTGTGATTTTTCTTTACCTAGACAACAGGTTAGTGAAAGGCAGGTCTGCTCAGCATGCGACAAAGTATCTCTAATATATTTTTTGCACTTGTTCCACACCATGGTGTCTCATGATGAACATCCAGAAGTAGAACCTAGCCCCATTTCAGACACTGGATTTTATATGGGCCACTCTAGACTCTAGCCAGACCCAGTCTAATTCCTTGAAACTAATTCTAGTCCTTGTGAGATCTCATCATGCAGGTTGAGGACTACATTAAGTCATGACTTTTGTACCTGGCCCTAGGCCATGGTTATGTACACTTGTGTTGCTACCAGATACAGAAGCATGCAGGCATGACTAGTATCCCTCTGTTCCCTGTGCATGGAAGTTACCATTCCAGTGCAGGTCAAGTATTCTCTTACTGTGTATGCATACTGCTAATGTAAAAATAAAAATGGTTTAAGCTTATATGCTTATGTGCACATGCTGAAATATGCATATGGACAAAACTTCTCAAAGCATATTGGTGGTAAATAACTTTGTTCAATAGAGCAATGCCTTGGTTTTTTTCCTCCAAAATACAGCCATGTAGAAACTGTAAGCCCTCATGGTTCTTAATTGAGCAAAATAGCATGCTTGTTCTGTTCCTTGAGATGGAATATTTGTTACAGTTTGTGGAAATAACATGTTGGCTGCCTAATAGGAAAGTCTTTGTAAGTCTCTTTACACCACTCCAGAGTATGGTAGAATATGTTCTCTCCTTTTTTGCTTTGTAAATTACAGAACCCAGAGAGCAGGCTTTAAGATTCAGTATTGTTGTAATTCGAATGACCTAGAACCTGTCTTTCTTGGCTCTCTTATCCCCCTAGATTTCTCATTATATTACCTTCTTTTGAGTTAAAGAAAGGGGTTAGAACTAGCCCAAATCTCTATGCAGACTTAACTTGTCACAGGGAGGATTTGATATAAATCAAACCTGCCTAAATTATGATTTAAGTCACTGGTCAGGAAGCCTCAATTTAATTGTCATTTTCTGCAGATACAGTAAAATCTCTGTTATCTGGCATGAGTCGGGAATGGGGGGTGCCAGTTATCTAAAAATTCCAGTTATCTGAGAGTTATACTCAAGGAAGACCGTGCCATTCTTGTAGTGGAAATTTTCAAAGAATTAGTGTACAGTACGTTACAGTATAATATACTGTATAAAGAATAAAATAAAATACAGATAAAAATGCCATAATAGTCAGCCACCCCAAATGCTAGGGCAGCCTGGCTGCAGGCTGCTGTAGCAGGGGGAAGGGCATGCACAGTCAGGTACCCTACATGGGTACCCTCAGAGGAGCGCAGCAGGCAGCAAAGTGGTGCGGCATGACGCCGTGTGCATCCTGCCGCTAAAATACTGGTTAATTAAGTATTCTGGTTAGTTTAAATGTTGCGTAACAGATTTTACTGTAATGCATTCTTGTTGTTTGATATCCTTTATTTATTTAACTTCTTGAAACTGTGTACTTTTAGAGAAAGGTAAGGGCTTGGCTCTGGGGCTTGACTGTGTGTACAAACTTGCAGAGAGACAATAGGGCTGATGGGTAGGTAATCAGGTCTGTTATCTCTCATCTCCATATACTGGTGTTAACAAGGATGTTATCTCTGGAGACAGTAAACTCTCCCTGTGCCTGAAGAAGGGCATTTGTGCCCAAAAGCTTGCAAAGAACAATTTTTCCAACTATTTAGTTAGTCTAATAAAAGACATCTACCCAGAGAACCTTGTCTGTGTATAATTTCTGTAGACAAATCCACAATTTGAGAACTGAGAACTGAAACTAACCATCACAGATGCTAAATGGGATCTTCTAGACTGAGTGCTGAGTCCCACTGGGTAGAGTGGTTTTCTTTAATTTTTTACTAATCTGTAGAGGAGCCTCTGGGAACCCCATAAGATCAGGCCCCTAATATAGTCCATTGCCTGTTGTGAACTATTGATAAAACTTCTAAAAAGCTTACATGAAAATACTGTCTCAATGGTATATAATTAGAATTTATAATCCCTATTCCATGATGAGGTCTTTGAGCTTTAATTTATCTTAAAGTATATATGTTTATTTTTTAAAAGCATCTTAACAAAAAATAAATATGATTAAGTAAAAAAAAAAAAGTCTGATTTAAACAAAAAAAATCCAATTTTTTTATTTTTTTCAAAAAAAAAGTTGATTTTTATCCACCCTGCCTTGTCATTCTCAGTACAGATAACCATATTATGTTCTGTGTTTGTTTTTGGAGGGTCTTCTTAGACCTTCTTCAGCCAATCTGTTTAACACCTTGGCCTACCAGTTTACTTCCTATTTGTTCACCCACTGTTTCTCCTACATTAGCACATCTGTGGCTTATCACTTCATTATGCCATCATTGGCATTTTGACTGTCTGTCTTTGAGCATGTCTGTTTGTCTCTCTCTCAAGTCAGATTCCTGGAATTGTCATGCTCCCCCACCCCCATGTAATAAAACTTCCCAACTCCTGTTTTGCACTTGCATCTAGGAATTATAAAATGCTCTGTAAGTGTAAGAGACATTTGACTTGAGAATAAAATTATATCCAAACCCTTTTTTTACCTTTTTTTTCCCCTTTTAAAGTGTCCGTCCTTGATAGGCAGGTGCAATAAAAATACACCTTGAACCATCCCATTCATGTCTCTTTTTAATCTTATTTTATTTTTAAATGCATGTGTTTTGTTTTTGGGAGTGTTGTCTTTTTAATGGTTTGTACTGCATCATCCTAGATGACGCAGACAAGCTCTAAACTTGAAGTTAAATTCTCCCAAATATAGTTATTTGTCTTTTTTTTTTTGCCCCCCTCCCAGTGGAAAGTTCGAAGGACATTAGCTTTCTCAATACATGAACTTGCAGTCATCCTGGGAGACCAGCTCACAGCAGGAGACTTGGTTCCTGTCTTCAATGGTTTTTTAAAGGACCTAGACGAAGTCAGGATAGGTGTACTTAAGCATTTGCACGATTTTCTGAAGGTAGGTCTCACATTTGACTTTGGGCAAAATTTAAATTATGCTCTTATTGACGCTTGTTTTGCCTTCGTAAATTTATATCTATAGATCATGCAATTATGATTTCTTATAGGAATCCAACCAAATGCCCGGTTAACATTAAAACAAGTCTTACAAGAGCTTTGTGATGCTCTTCTCTTTCTGACTTTGTCTTTCTGAGTAACTGAATTGAATTGAGTTTCTCATGGTATCAGGCTCTGTGCTTTTCTTCTTAACCTCTAAAAGACATCTGTACTGAACACCATTCTTTAGATCTGAAATACATAACTTACAATGGATTGAAAATAAGCACTAACATGTTTTGCATAATAAAAGGAGATACAGGGTAAATTCTGTCTCGTAATATGCCATGTAGTTGTATTGATTTTAGTATGGAAATGGACTGTTCTTAGTGGTGGTGGATAACAGAATAAGGAGCAATGGTCTGAAGTTGCAGCAAGAGAAGTTTAGGGTAGATATTAGGAAAAACTTCTCACTAGGAGGGTAGTAAAACTGTGGAACAGGTTACCTAGAGAGGTGGTGGACTCTCCATTCTTGGAGGTTTTTAAGACCCGGCTACACAAAGCCTTGGTTGGGATGAGCTAGTTGGGGGATGATCCTGCTTTGAGCAGGAGGTTGGACTAGATGACCTCCTGAGGTCTCTTTCAACCTTAATTTTCTGTGACTATGGTTTGTGGCAGAATTTGTTCTATAGGCATTATACTTATTTCCAGCTAAAGGATAATTTTTCGATCTGTGGATGCTTTGTGATATATAGTAAACACCTTGCTCACAGTCCATTCATTATCAGAGAGGTAGTTAGGTAATTAGTCTGAAGTCAGCAGAAGGTAGGGCAAGGTAGCACTTTAGACTAACGGTCAGAGAGGCATGAACTTTTATAGGCAACAACCTGCTTTGGCTGATGGGTCTGATAGCATCTGAAGTAGGTTGTTGGCTACAAAAGCTCACACCTCTAGGGGTTCATTGTACCCTACCTTCTGCCCTTCCATCTGTTGACACTGAGTCTTGTAATCTGCACTGTGCTGAACGGTCTTATTTTTATTTTCAGCTTCTTCATCCTGACAAAAGAAGAGAATATCTTTATCAACTCCAGGAATTCTTAGTGACTGATAACAGCAGGAACTGGCGTTTCAGAGCTGAGCTGGCTGAGTATGTTGCTTGTGAGGTTTCGGTTGGGGTAACTTTTTCTTCTGTGTTGTTTTGGCTTTTTTAAAATAGAATCCACAAATTACATTTCATCAAATGCCATAGACCAATCTTTTATAGTGGCTGCTTACAGTTTTGTTTTCAACTATGGCTTTACTGTTGTCTTCCTCCATCTAGTGTCTTGTTATACAACAAATTGAATAGAAATATTTTCCATTATAGTACTTTCAAACCATTTATTTACTTTACTATAAAAATCATTCCACTAGATAGAATCCAACTCCTATTAAGGCAGTAGAAATCTTTGGTTTTGCTGAAAGGTAGTGCAAGTCTGATGAGAAGTTACTATGTAACAGAGAAAAAATTAAAATGAGAATGTGTGCTTAAGTGGTGGTTATCACATAATTGCACTACTGCAGTCATACTACTGAAGGACTGATAAATGGGAACTTCAGAACAAAGTCAAAGAATACAGTAAGGGTGTGACTGGCCAAAACAATGCATGGATTGAAAAGAGGAATGGGAGGAATTTAACGTGGTGCAACTGTAACTTTCATCTGTTCACTCTATTCCGTGGTAAGTGGAAGTTAAATAGCCATCACTTACCACCTGTTTTATTCAGGGAGAAATCATTGTCATTTAGCTTTGCTAACTGAAGGGTAGAAGTGGACAGGTGAAATGGTTACAGCGGACCAAACAATGTGTACACATAAGCAGTAAGCCTCACTACATACATACACCTTCAAGTACAGGAGACCCTTGCCATGCCTGGGGGATCCATTCTGGAGATCCCTGTGAGTGGCGAAATCCATTAATACTGATGGGGCTCCCTGTCAGACTCTGCCCCCCCCCCCTTCCCCCCA